GGGAGCAGAAGCATGATTTGGGAAGTCAGCTGGAATAATTTGGGATAAGTCCCGGGAAATCCGAGGCTGTAGGATGTGGATGGAATTTTTTATTCCATGCAATGGAATTTTTGTTGCTTTTTCATTCAGGAAATCGGAGGGGGAGCGAGAACAACGGGGGGAGAAAGTCGGGAGAGAGGGAATGGGAAGAATGGAAGGGGGAGAGGGGGAAGGAAAAGGCGGGGGAAGGAAAAGGCGATGAACAAACAAACAAAAAAAATTCCCAAATCCACCCGAGCGAAGGCTCCAAAACAAATTAAGGTTGCCACGGCAACCGGGGGTGTGTGGGCAGCTCCGAACGCACGGAATTAAAACCGGCGTCATGTTCAGTGCTTAATTAAACCCCGGCCCAGCGCTGGGAGGACGGGACACCGGGAATTCGGGAATTCGGGATATCGGGACACCTCCACTCTGCCGCGCCAGGAATGGGGCTGGGAATGAATCCCAAATCCCCGGGATGAGCGCCGGGGTTGATTCCCAAACGCTCCGAGTTGCGGTTGGTGCTCGACCCCCGCCCCCATCCAGGCGCGGGGAGGGGTTGGGAGCAGATCCGGGGGTGAAATTCCAAGTTTTCTCCCCCCCTTCCCGCTTCCTATCCACTTGATTTTCTCCAGGAGTGACCGCGCGAGGTCATCCAGAGGACCCCGGGGCCGCGGGGCTGACGGAGACAGCGGAGCCCTTGTTCCTCCCGGGGCTCCTCGGGGATCATCCAGGGGCTGGAGCATCCTCTGGAAAATGCTGCCTTTATGCCTCGAGCTCTGGGAATGCGGCCGGGAGAATTCCTGGAGCTGGGGGATCCAACCCCATTGATCATTCCTGAGAAAAACAGGGAGCGGGACGCTGTAACCAGTTCAGCACCAGCCTGGGGGGAAATGGGAGCACTGGGAAGGAATTTTCCATGCTGCCTCAGGGAAATTGGGATGCTTTTGGGTTTGATTCCAGCGGGATCCATCAGCTTTTCCGTGCATGGGTTTGAAATCCGTGCTGGAGCCACCTGTGACTTCCCAGCTCCTGCCTTAATCCTCCTTGACATCCCGGCTGCTGCTGCTGCTTCCATAATGAATATCCAGACAGGGAATTAGGGCCGGGATTCATTTCACCCACCGAGCCTAATTAACGGATGCAAAGATGCAGCGCTGGAGCAGGAGGCAGGGCTAATTCCCGAATAATTCCGGAATAATTCAGGAGGACACAGAAAAGGCTCCGCATGGGCCTTACCCTGGCCACGACAGCAAAACCTTCCCCTGCAGAGGCTTGGGAAAGCTTTTCCCAGTTTTCCAGCCCTTTAAAAGTCATCCAAATCCAAGGAATTAGAAAGCAGGGGCTTGGAGCGCCCTGGGATCGTGGGAGGTGTCCCTGCCCCTGGCAGGGGTGGGATGAGAGGAGCTTCAAGGTCTCTCCCAAGCCACAGCATTCCAAGATTCTGTGAATTCCTCTCCTGGAAAAGGCTGCTGGTTGTGCCCCCACTCCCACTGCGGGGTAACGTCCCAGCTGGCAGGGAATTACTGCCGGCACATCCCAGGATTTGCTGTCTTTAACCCCGTGTAAATCCCGGGAGCTTTTCCTCATTTTCATGGATTTCTTCCCGAGGCCAGAGGTTAAATGGGAGAGCTTCTGTGGCTGTCATTTATCCTGGGTTTTTTTGGGTTTTTATCCCCAAGGAGCCTCCAGACAGGCATTTTACTGGAATTTACTGGGATTGAAACCTCCTCCACTGGATGGTTTGGTCTCTCCTGAAAATTTTTGTGGGAGAATCCTGGAATGCTTTGGGTTGGAAGGGACTTTAGGGATCAGCCAATTCCAGCTGCAACACCTCCCACTATCCCAGATTATCCCACCCTGGCCTTGGACACTGCCAGGGATCCAGGGGCAGCCACAGCTCCTCTGGGAATTCCATCCCTGTCCCTCCCCCCCCTCCCAGCCAGGAATTCCTTCCCAAAATTCCATCCATCCCTGCCTCTGGCAGTGGGAATCCATTCCCTGGGTGCTGTCCTTCCATCCCTTTTCCAGCTCTCCTGGATTGCCTGGATGAAAACCCAGCGATGTTCCCCCTCCAATCCCAAACAGCTGCAAATCCTCCCATCCCTCTCCCACATTGTCACCCCTTTTCCTTGGATTTTCAGGAGAGAGACCCCAGAACACCGAGACCGCCCCAATCCAGCAATGAATGAATCCCAATTTTCCAGAAAATTCTTTCCCCCTCATGTTTGAGGCTCCCTCCTGACGTCTTCCCAGATTTCTCCTCCAAAGATCCGCTATTTTTAAAACCCTCCCTAAAACCCTTTTCCATCTATTTTTTCCTTCCTGCTCCCACTGCTTGGCATTTCCTCTGAGGAGCACGGGGACTTTTTAACTGCTCCAAAAACCTGGATGCAAAAAAAAAAACCCTCTTGGAATATTTCCTTTGGAAGGGCCCATCTGGGATTTACAGCCCTAGGCACAGAGGGAAGGAATAAAAACACGATCGTGGGAGGTGTCTCCTTAAGGAGGCAAAAATTCCTTAAGGAGCCAAAATTCAGAATTGGAAATTCGGGAAAAAATTCAGAATCCAGACATGGCCAGGAGGAAAAATCCTGGTAATTCGTGTGGAATATTCCAGGAAATGCTTTGCTTTCCAAAGAGGTTAAATGGCTTTTTATTCCTTGTGGAATCGCTGCTCCAAGGAATGGCTGGGAATGGGAGATTCCAGCTGGGAAATAGGGGAAATTCTTCATTAAATTATCCACTGGAATTTGAGGATTTGTGGGAGTTTTGGTGCAGGCACTACAAGATGACCCCAGGGACACAAAATATTCCTTAAAACTCCTCCAAAATTCCAAATTATGCCACCAAAAACCTCATTTCCCAGCAATTCCTCCTCGGAACAAACCCTGTGACATTCCCACCCCAGCTGATCCATCCTAAAAACCCCCAAAATGCTCTTTTTCCCCCAAACCCAACATTCCAAGGACAGGAGGGTGATGCCAAGCTGGAATTCTGAAGCATTAACTGGGATTTATCCTCTCCTTTATCCCAGGAAGGAAAAGTTCTCCCGGGAAAAGCTTGAGTGGATTTTTTCCCATTATTATTTTATGCCACATCCTGAAAAAAAAAAAAAAATTGTGTTTTCAGCACTTTCTGCTATCGGGAAAGTAATTGAGTCCAAATGAAGAGGGAATTATCTCCAGAGTTAATTATCCATCCTGGCAGCCGGGGTTTTACATCCCAGCATTTTCCACTTCCACACAAAGCACGGGAATTCTCTTCTCCTGTAATTAATGTGCTGGGAATGTGGTGGAGGAAGCACCAGGGTTTTGGGTGGAGTTGGGGAGATTTTGGGAACTGAGTGGAGAGGGGATGGGAATGGCTCCAAACCAGGCACAGGGTGGTGCTGGAATCGCTATTCCTGGAGGGAATGTTGGAATTTCCATTCCTGGAGGGAACATTTGAGCAAAACCTTTCTCCACTGCTGAAATCCCCATTCCTGGAGGGAATGTTGGAATCACCATTCCTGAAGGGAATATTTGAGCAAAACCCTTTCCCAGTGCTGGAATTGCCATTCCCAGAGGAAATCCTGGATCAATTCCCCATTCCCAGCGCTGGAACCACCATTCCTGGAGGGAATCCTGGAATCACCATTCCTGGAGAGAATCCTGGATCAAGACCCCATTCTGAGTGCTGGAACCACCATTCCCAGAGGGAATCCTGGATGAAGACCCCATTCCCAGTGCTGGAATTGCCATTCCTCGATGGAATACTGGAATTGCCATTCCTGGAGAGAATCCTGGAATCACCATTCCTGGAGAGAATCCTGGAACAAATCCCTGTTCCCAGTAGTTCCCAGTAACCCCAGGGCTTCTATGGATCACAATTCCCAAGCAGGGAATTCTGGGAATGCTCAGTGGTGCTGGATGGAGACGTTTCCCTGACCTTTCCAAGCAGTTCCGACTCCTTCTGGAAAGTCCTGGAGCACTCCCATCTTTCCCAGGGAAATCCCCCAGCACCAGGAAGAAATCCCTGCTGGATTTTCCAGCTTCTTTCCCAAGGAAATCCGGCAGCGCTCAGGGCTCCCAGCCCAAACTGAGAACACCCAGATCTGGGAATCACCCCCAGGGAGGGATCCCAAATTTTGCTGTGGAGCTCCCAAATCCCTTTTTTTTGGTGGCCCCACACCTGGCTCCGGCTCAGAGCTGCCCCTTCCTGGGAAGAAGCAGCCCGGGATTGCAGCAGGAATTCCAGGAGAGACGGGGTTTGTTTATGTTCTCTTTGCCAGCTCCCACATCCCCCATCGGATTTTCCATGCTGGAAAAGGGAATGTTCATCCCTCCCTCCCCTCTCTGTCAGCTCCAGCTCCCAGCAAGCAACACTGGGATCCTTCCATCCCATTTTCCACATCCTGGAACATCCAAAGCCTGCTTGGAGCAAGCTGGGATAATGGAATTGTCCCAGTCCACAGCAGAGGCTGGAATGAGATGATTTTAAGCTCCATCCCAATCTGGAATTCTGTGATTCCACAATTTTACCAACCCCAGGCTCCCAATATTCCCAAAATCCCTTTTTCCACAGGCACAGTTGGATGGGAATTGACATTTCCACTCCCAAACCCCCCAAATAAATAAAAATCCCAACTAAATAAAAAATTCCAGCCCCTCACTTTTCCTGTGCCCCAAATCCAAGGGAGGGGCTGGAATTTGAAGCCTGAAAATCTTGCACATAAAAATTCCCTAAATGCCACCAGAAAATGGGAATGGCAGCCCCTTGAGAATGTTTCCCTGTTTGTTGTCTCCTGCAGGAAAAAAAGGCCAGGAATTGTTGAATTCCAACCCAAATCTTGACATTCCTGCAGCTGAAGGGTTCCTATTTTTTTCCCCCCACCAGATATGAGGATTTTTATGGAATCTTGGATTTTTAGGGCTGTTTCATTCCTTGGTTTGTTCTCCTTGGTTTATTTTGGTTTTTCTTTTTTTTCCATTATAGACATTGTTAAAAAAAATAAATTTTCCAAGAATACATTTGGAAGTTGTTGTGGGAATTGGAGGGATTAAAAAAAATTAAAAAGAGGGAAAATAAAGGGAAAAATGGGAATTAAAAAGCCACAGGATGGGTAGGATTATGTATATGGGAATATCCATATGTTATATGTATATAGGAAATAAAGCGGAGAGGGAAAAAAAGGAATTCTGACCCTGGATGGGTCAAGTTCCACTCCCAACCCAAATTTCAAATAAAAAAAAAATTTTAAAAAAAAGGAAAATGGAACCTCTTCCCCTGGAATGATTGAAAACATCAGCACAACCTCACACATTTCACACCAGTTTCTTTTCTCTTCCATTCGGAAACTCTCAGAGGAAAACTCCCAACCAAAATCCCCCAAAAACCAACGGGAAGAGCTGTGGGAGTCCCCTCCGGGTGGCTCCCGATGGCGCCTTCATCCTCCAGGATGTTTCCATGCAGAATCCTCGTTGTTCCTGTGGCCACCCCAGTGCAAAGAATCCTGAAATTCACCTTTCCCAAAGCTTTTCTCTGACTCTTTTCCCCTCCCCGGCACCGCTGGCAGCTCCAGACCCCATTCCAGGCCCATTCCAGGGAGTTTTCCCAGGAGCCGCTCTGGAAAACCAACCCAGAAAAGACCAAAAAAAAACCCCAAAAAAAACGGGAAAAATGAAAAGTAGGAAGAAAACCACCAAAGTTTCCCAGCTTGGTGAAGGCTCCTCCTGCCTCTCCGGAGCTCGGCATTCCTGGGATTTGGGAGCGTTCCAGTCTCCGGCGCAAGCGCGGCAGCGGTGGGCACTGGTGAGCACTGGTGGCACTGGTGGCACTGGTCCGAGCGTCCCCGTCCCACCGGCTGCTCCTTCCCGCCCCTCTATAGCCCCAGCACCGGGATCAGGATGGGAATGAGGAGCAGGATCCGGCTCTCCCGCTGCCGGCTGCTTCCCGCCTTGGGATCCATGAAAGTCTTCTGGTCTGGCATCACATCCGTGGTCAGCTGGGCCTGGCGAGGAGGGATGGGAGTTTTAGGGAAAAGCATCCCAAAGTTGGGAAACACTCCGAGGTGTCATTCCCAAGATGTTTGCTTTGGGAGAGAATTCCCAGCCCCGGGATCCCCCAAGTACCTGGGAGTAGCACAAGCTCTGCTCCTTGGATTTGTTGGGCTTCAGGCCTTGTTCCTGGCAGGAGAAATTGGGAATGGTTAGGGGAAGAATGTGCCCCTGGAGCTGGTTTGGGGTCCTGAATTTCCCTGTGGGAATCAGCTCGGAGCGGGTGATGGAGTACAGGGAAATTTGGGAACGGCTCATCCCATCTCCACAGAGGCTTCAATGGATCCTGCCTCACTGCCACTGTGATCCTGCCAGGAATCCTGCCTGGAATCCTGGGACACCCCACCAGTCCCCATCCCACTCCTCTGCATTCTTGGAATAGCCCCAGCCATTTCGCAGTCCCATTTCCCTGCATTCCTGGAATATCCCCAGCCATTCTCCAATCCCATTCCCCAATCCCATTTCCCTGCATTCCTGGGACATCCCCAATCCCATTTCCCTACATTCCTGGAACATCCCCAGCCACTCCCCAGTCCCATTTCCCTCCCACTCCTTTTCCACCCATGGAGCAAAACAGGGACGCCCAAGCCCAGCGCCCAGCAAGACATCACGGATTTTCCATATTTCCCAAAAAACCATGGAATTCCAGCTCCCAAACGAGGAGAAGTCAGGCTCAGGGAGTCACCTTGGCAGGTGAGGGAGAAGACGGGCAGGGAATTCCATTTCCCTCCCCATTCCAGACCCCAAACAGTGCCCGGCTCCTTCCAACCCCAAGATGAGTCCGAGCGGGACATTTTCCCATCCCACGGGATGCGGCCGATGTCCCACACCCCCACCAGTGCTCCCAGTTTGTGGCAGGGACTGGGCCACACCTGGAGGGAGGTGCAGGTGCTGATGACGCTCGTGTCGTAGGCGGTGTTGCTGTCGTTGACGTCGTCCGGCAGCGCCGGGCTCTTCTCCACCTTCGGCAGCACCGTCACGGCGGGATTGGGATTTTTGGGAGCCAGGTTCACGTCGGTGCCGTTCCCAAAAGCTTGGATGGCGTTTCCTGGCAGCAGGAGAGATTTAGGAGGGATGGGAATGATAAAACAAGGTCAAAGGGGCAGTGCGGGGAAGCGCCTTACGGAGACAGGGATTTTCCGTGAAATCCCGCAGGAATTTCTCGCACTCCTCCTCCATATTCCCGCTGCCTTTGCAGGAGCACCAGGGTGAGATGGTGATGCTGGTGGTGCTGGCGTCCACGTAGTTGGGGGTGATGTCAAAGCCTGGCAAAGAGGAGAGAACAAGGATGAAATCCCAGCGAGAAAAGCCATTCCCGATCCCGACTCCCGGCACTCACCGATGAGCCCTGCGTAGGAGCCCAGGCACGCCTGGAAGTTGTCCCCAGGACAGCTGGTCAGGGACTGGAATGTGGCCTGGCAGTTGGTGTGGAAATCAGCCAGACGGGATCTGGAGAGGAGGAAAAGTGGGAAAACAACAGGATTTCAGTGCCAGTTCCATCCCAGAGTGACTCCACGGCCAGCAGGAATTTTTTAGACAGAATAAGTGCCCCATTCCCAACATCCCCACACAGGCTGTGAAATTCCAGGGCAATTCAGGCTCTCCAGCTGCGTTATCCAAGTGCTCCCAAAAGGAGACAGGATCCTGGGAATGGCCGTGCTCATCCACACCTCAGATCCCAATGAACAGTAAAAACACAAGAGGAATGTCCTTGGGAAGGGATGGAATTGGGGTGGGTTTGAGGCGCTGCTCCTTGCTGGGGATGGGAGGATGGAGAAGGAGGAAGAGCTTAGGATGAAGCAGGAATTCCAGGGAAAACCAGGATTCTGCAGTTCTGCCATGGTGCATGAGGCAAGGAGGAAACTTTCTCCTCCTTCTTCCTGGAAATAAAACTCCCGCACCAGGAGCGTTGTTTCCCTGTTTATTTTCCTTCCTTGTGACTCAGCCCATGGAAAACTCCCCACAGAGTGGAGAGGCTCCATCCCACTCCCATCCCCGGGGCAGATCCTCAGCTCCTGGAAGAGAATTTTCCTTGCACAAAGCCCAGAAAAGCTTTTCCAGCATTTTTATTTCTGGGGGATGCTCCACCCTCCCTGCAGCCAAACCTCAGCTCCAGGGTGGGAATGGCAGAAATCCAAAAACCTGCTCCTTCCCCAGCTTCTCTGCGGGAGAGGAATAAAACTTTCCGACAGCATTTCCCTCTCTTCCCAAATCCGAGGCGAAGGGACGTCAATTCCCTGCAGGAAGCGTGGCGAGTTCAGTGCGGAGCGCCAGGAAAATTTGTCACCGCTGCTCCCCGGGGCTCTGCTCCCGGCCCGGAGCATCCTCCGAGGCAAATGTTATTCCTTTCATAATCCATGAGGATGCAGCTGGGAAATCCTTCAGGAATATCCAAGGCAGATGTCACTCTTCCTGTTGGACACGGCGACTTTGGAAGCCGCTGGATGAGATTCGCTGCCAGGAATAAAAGCTCGGCCTGGGCCCGGCGGGTTTTGGCTTTCAAGGGCTCCAAAGGAATGAAAAAAAAAGGGAAAGGAGAAGGAGCCAAGTCCATCTTAGCGGGAACAAGGAGGAATTGGTGCCAAATCGCTGCTGGCAGCTGGAGGAGGCAGGTGGGGATGGCCTGGAAAAGTTGGGAAGAGCTGGGCTGGCTCTGGATGAGGGATGGAGGAGGATTTTCCTAAGAGTTGCCTTCCCCCCACGCCCCCCAAAAAAAAAACCAAACCAAAGGAGTGGAAGAAAAGGGATTTAAAAAATTAATTCTGGATATACACTCAGATCTGCCATCCCAAACCTGCTCCAAGGGCTGGATTCCTATTTAGGGGTTTCCAAACTGCCCCTCTTGGATTCCTGCAGGAAAAGTCGCAGGAAGACTCCCCAGGATCCCGGGGTTGAACACGCCCTGCTCCCAAATCCAGGCACTTCCCAAGGACCTCGATCCCTGGATCCTCTTAAATATCCTGGATTTAAGGGACTTTTTAATTCCATACCTCTATTCGCAGTGCATAAATCCCAAATTTGCACCTGTACATTTATCCCATGTGCTTAAATCCCAAATTTAAGGGACTTTGTGCATTCCTAGACAAACACCTGGTGCCAATATCCCAAATTTAGGGGACATCTTGTAGCTGTACATTTATCCCAGGTGCATAAATCCCAAATTTAGGGGATTTTTATTCCTGTCCTCCCACCCCCAGCACATATATCCCAAATTTCGGGGACTTCAAGCATCCCTACAGGGCCCACCTGCCTCCCGCTCCTCTCCCATTCCCTGTTTTTCTGCAGGAATTCAGCACCACCAAAACCCCACTGGCTCTGACATGAAAATTTACCAAACACAGAGGTTTTGGGATGGGTTTGGGGTTTTTTTTTTTTGTGATTTTTTTAACCGCTTAATTGAGTGTTAATTACTCCCATCCCCCGAGCCACAGTGATAACTCAGCACACATCCAATCCAACAGCATCCTGCTCCTGAATATTTAATGGAAAAGACACTGGGATTCCTCCAGAGGTGGAATTTTTTTTTTTTTTTTTTTCACGGGCAATTTATGGGGACTGAGGGAATTTTTAAAGAAAATCCTCTCCCCCTCTCCTGCCCAGCTGGGGATGTTCAGGAAGCTGCGACAACACGGAAAATACTCGGCGAGACACGAAAATCCCGCTGGGCATCGCCCTCCCAACATTCCCGTCCTGCTGGAGAGGGATTCTTTTGAAGTTGGGAGATGCTGAGATTAAAAAAAATTCCCCTCAAATGCTCGCAGGTAAATTCAAAGCATCCCAGGGAGGGGGAGCAGCTGAAGGGAAGAGGGAAGCTGGAATAAAAGTCAGCTTTTGTGGATGACCCGCTGCCAAATCGAGCGAGGAGTTCACAGGGGAGGGAAAAAAGATCAATGGATGGATTTGTTTTATCCGGGAGAAGTTGTCTGGGGAGAGGAGTCACCTGTTCTGGGCTGAGCCGCGGGAGGCTGGAGGGGAAAAGGAAATTTTTGGTCGTCCTTCTGAGGCTCTCAGCCTCAATTCCAGAGGAATTTCCTCATGGAAACGGGGTCAGGCTTGGGAAGGGGCTGCCTGTGGAGGGTTTGGAGTCACCATCGCTGGAGATGTCCAGGGAACGCTTGGAGATGCCCAAAGAGCCCTTGGAGATGTTCAGGGAACCCTTGGAAGTATCCAAGGAATCCTGGAGGTGTCCAAGGATGACCTGGAAGTGCCCAAGGAACCCCTTGAAGTGTCCAGGGATGGCTTGAAGGTGGCAAAGGAACCCTTGGAGGTGCCCAAAGAACCCCTGGAGATGCTTAGGGAACCCTTGGAGGTATCCAAGGAACCCCTGGAGGTGCCCAAGGATCCCCTGGAGGTGACACTCAAGGCTCTGGGCTGGGGACAAGGTGGGGACCAAAGGTTGGACTCTGATCCTGGAGGACCTCCAGGAGCCTCTGGAATTCCTTGCTCAGAGCTATGGACACAGCAGGAAAAAGTCAAACCCACAACAAACCAAGGGAGAAGCTCCCAAAGCAGAGGAAACCCAGCAAGAGGGAAAATAATTAGGGCAGAACCTCAAAGTCGGCAGTTACTAATTAACAATTTCGTTCTCCACACGCATTTCAGGCCACCACGTTTTGATCCAGGGCTGAGATCAGTGACTCAAAGGCCTTTTTTGGGTGGATTTTTTTTATCCTCGAGCCCTGCGGCTCCCCGGGAAGGGGAGGACGGAGCCGGCACCGTTTGATTTTAATTGCGGGCCCGTTCTGTCCCATTGAGCCGCTAACTGAGCCCAACAGGAGATTGTGTTTACACAAGCAAAGCCCGGCTCAAGACAGACTCGCTGTCACATTAAGTCAATACTTGGGAAGCCTCTCGAGTTAATTATTCAGCGAGAATTGACTGATTCTCGTGGTAAGAGCCCGGCGAGCCCGCAGGGAGCCGAGCCCTCCCCCAGCCTCCTCCTCATGTGAGGAACCCCCCCGGGTGCTGCCCCTCCGCTTCAAAATCCACCAGATTTGGAGATTTTCACTGATTTTCCCAGATTTCTCCAAGCTCTCCCAGCTCCCATTAAATCCAGGAGAAATCGTTCCCTGTTCCATCTTCTTTCCCTCCCCTGCTCCTTCTTTTCTTCTTCCCCAGCCACCTCCTCATGTGAGGGACCCCCCGGTGCTGCCCCTTGGCTTTCCAAATCCACCAGATTTGGGGATTTTCACAGATTCTCCAATCCTAAATCGGGTTTGGAGACACCTCCACACTCTGTCCCCTTCAAACCCGAGCTCTCCCAGCTCCCATTAAATCCTGGAGCAATTTTTCTCTGCTCCTTCTTCCTCCCCTCCTCCTTCTTTTCTTTTTCCCCAGGTGCCTCCACAAGTGAGGAACCCGCCGGTGCTGCCCCTCCAAATCCACCAAATTTTGGGGATTTTCACAGATTTCCCACTCCCAAACCGGGTTGGGAGGCTCCTCCACTCCCCTCCGACCCCAAGCTCTCCCAGCTTCCATTAAATCCTGGAGCAATTTTTCCTTGCTCCTTCTTTTCTGCTTCCCCAGCCACCTCCACAAGTGAGGGACTCCCCAGTGTTGCCCCTTGACTTTCCAAATCCACCAGATTTGGGTATTTTCACAGATTTCTTTTTCCTTGCTCCTTCTTTTCTGCTTCCCCAGCCACCTCCACAAGTGAGGGACTCCCCAGTGTTGCCCCTTGACTTTCCAAATCCACCAGATTTGGGGATTTTCACAGATTTACTACTCCCAAACTGGGTTTGGAGTCTTCTCCACATCCAGTCCCTCTGAATCCGAGTTCTCCCAGTTTCCGATAAATCCAGGAGAAATTTTTCTCTGCTCCTTCTTCTTTCCCTGCTCCTTCTTTTCTTTTTCCCTGGCTGTTCCCACACATGGGGGACCCCCCAGTGCTGCCCCTCCACTTCAAAATCCACCAGATTTGGGGAATTTCCCAGATTTCCTAATCCCAAACCAGGTTTGGAGACTTCTCCACTCCCCTCCAAACCCGAGCTCTCCCAGCTCCCATTAAACCCAGGAGCAATTTTTCCCCGCTCCTTCTTCTTCCCAGACAGGCTCTCATTACAGGGAGTAATGAGAAGTTGAGCTGCTGTTTATCAAGGAAACATCCATTACGGGTGGTGTTGTGTCTGCGCCAAACAAAGGCCGTGCCGCGGGGCCGCGCCGCTCCCAAGCCGCGCTCCCTTCCCATCTTTGGTGTTCCATCAATCCCCAGCCAGCCTGGATCCCCTCCCTCCTTCCCGAGCCAAAGCTCCAGCCCAAACCTGGCCAAAATCCTTGATGAACAAATATCCTGGGAGGGGGAGCATCCCTGACCCCCCCTGGATTTAAACACAGCAAAAATTGGGATAAAAACCCAGGAGATGATCCAACATTCCCACCTTGGCCAAAATCCTTGACACACAAATATCCTGGGAGGGGGAGCATCCCTGACCCCCCCTGGATTTAAACACAGCAAAAATTGGGATAAAAACCCAGGAGATGATCCAACATTCCCACCTTGGCCAAAATCCTTGATGAACAAATATCCTGGGAGGGGGAGCATCCCTGACCCCCCCTGGATTTAAACACAGCAAAAATTGGGATAAAAACCCAGGAGATGATCCAACATTCCCACCTTGGCCAAAATCCTTGACACACAAATATCCTGGGAGGGGGAGCATTCCTGACCCCCCCTGGATTTAAACACAGCAAAAATTGGGATAAAAACCCAGGAGATGATCCAACATTCCCACCTTGGCCAAAAGGAAAGACGGGGGGAAAGACGGGGGGAAAGACGGGGGGAAAGACGGGGGGAAAGAGGGGGGGAAAGCTTCCTGAGCTGCACAAATCATGGCTCAGTTGCTCCCAGAGTCCTGGGGCAGCTCCCGTGGGATTTGTGGCTGGGTCAAGGCCGTTGGAATGGATTTATATGGAGGAAACAAATTAGGATTTCAGCCCAGGATAAGCCAGATCCTGCACTCCAAAGATCCTGTCCCCTTACCGGGATCTGAGTCCTTGAGGGGACACAAGGAGGGACATCCCAGACCCTCTGTGCCTTCAGGACAGCAGGGAAGGGTTAAACCCCTCCTGCATCCAGAACATTCCACATGCAGAGCCATTCCCGGCAGGACGGAGCAGCCAGTGGCTTCCTTGTGACCTTTGTGACCGAGGGGACAGGGCTGGTGTCCAAACCCAGCAGCCCCACGCAGCTGGAAAGCAGCACGGAGAGCCAGGAAAAGCTCTGGAAGGGCTGTTTTCCATGCTGGAATATTCATTTACCCTCTCCTCCAATTCTTCTGCTTCTTTTTAGGGGTGAAAATCTTGTCCTATAGGAGCAGCAGCCCCTGGATCGACCTCCATGCAGGAAAAATCCCTCTGGAAAATCCTATCCTGCCAGAGAGGGTTTTCCCTCATTAGGCTTTGAGCCAGGAGGGTTAATTAATTACCCTGGCAGGTTAATTACTCTGGCAGGAGAATTATCTCATGTCCTGTCACCTCCAGCTCTGGAAGCACTTGGGATCTGCTCTGGCTCCACAGCCCTCGCCAGGCCCCTGTCAGATCGGGATGAGCATCGGGCTGGGATGTTGGATTGAGAAACTCCTGGAATGGGAAATCCCATGGCACTGCCTTGTCCTCCAGGATCAGGAGTTTGGGATGGATAAACCCATGGATAATGGGAAATCCCATGGCCCTGCCTTGTTCCCCAGGATGAGGGGACACAGGGATTTTGTGTCCCAAAATTTTAGCTGGAGATGCCAGACGGGAGCGGATGGGATGGGATGGGATGGGATGGGATGGGATGGGATGGGATGGGATGGGATGGGATGGGATGGGATGTTCTCCTGAAAACCCAGATCCAAGGAGTGCATCCATGCCCCATTCCAAGGAAAAAATCCCTGAGGTTCCAGCAAAACCAACACAAATAAATCCCAGATTTGGGCATTTTCCAGAGCAAGAGCCCCCATCCCATCTCTCCCATGCTTCTCCCAAAAAACCACATTTCCACCTTGGAGCAAACAAATCCTCCCAACAGCTGCCACCCCTTCCCCCTTTCCCTCCTTGTGTGGGGTTTCATTCCATGCAGGAATTAAAGCTCGTGGCCTCTGCAGCCCCCCCGGCTCTTCCAGCCCCGTTATCCCTCTCGGAGCGCGGATCCGTCGGCAGCATCCGCCTCGGAGCGCGCTGATGGAGAGGAGTTGCCATTCCCGGGTATCTTTTATTCATGGCCACCAGCTCCTTGGATTACTTTTTGATAAAAAGCCACATTCCCACATTTCAAACATCTCCGCTCGCAGCCCGAGGAAGATCCGGAGCTCGCATTTATTTCCCCGCCGAGCGCCGGGAAACTCCATCACCTTGACGGGGAGAAGATCCTGCTCCTGGCGGGAGTCGGGGCTATCGGGAAGTGGATCCGGGTCCCGAGGGGGACAGGAGGGGTTGTGCCCCGTGACAAATGGGTTTCAGAAGGAGCAGGAGCCTCGGCACCCAGCTCTGCGCTGGCAAGGGGGAGCAGCGGGAATTCGGCAGCCGGGGAAGGTTTGGGAGGATGCAGTTCTGTCCCTGTTTCTTGGGATCTGTCCCCTGGATGTCCCCAGGGCATTGTCCAGTGCTGCTTCCCCAGCCAAACACGGGGAAAAACAGAGCCTGGGGGGTGACACACATACTGGGGGTGACACTGATGCCAGGGGAGGTGGCACTAGTATTGGGGGGTGACACTGATGCCGGGAGGTGGACACTGATGCTGAAAGGGTGACACCAATGCTAGGGCAGTGACATTGATATTGGGGGTGGTACTGATGCCAGGACGGTGGCACTGATGCCGGGACCTTGCCAGGAGAAGCTCCCAGAGTGCCCAGGTGGCACCAGTGCCAGGGGGGTGACACTGATTTTGGGAGGTAGCACCGATACAGGGGGGTGGCACTGATCCTGAGGCACGTGACACTAAGGCTGGGGGTGTGGCACCAGTGCCAGGGGGTGACACCAATGCCAGGAGGGTGACACAAACACCTGACCCATGGACCGTGGGAGAAGCCACCGAATGCCTGGGTGACACCAATGCCAGGAGGATGACACCAATGCCAGGAGGGTGACACTGATGGCTGGGTGGTGATACCAATGCCAGGAGGGTGACACTGATGGCCAGGGCAATGACACCAATGCCAGGAGGGTGACACCAGTGCCAGGAGGGTGACACTGATGGCTGGGTGGTGATACCAATGCCAGGAGGGTGACACTGATGGCCAGGGCAATGACACCAATGCCAGGAGGGTAACACTGATGGCTGGGCGGAGACACCAATGCCAGAGAGGTGACACTGATGGCTGGGGGCTGACACTGATGGCCAGGAGGTGACACCAATGCCAGGAAGGTGACACTGATGGCCAGGGCAATGACACCAATGCCAGGAGGGTAACACTGATGGCTGGGTGGTGACACCAATGCCAGAGAGGTGACACTGATGGCCGGGGGCTGACACTGATGACCGGGAAGGTGACACCAGTACTAGGGAGGTGACACTGATGGCCAGGGCAATGACACCAATGCCAGGAGGGTGACACTGATGACCAGGCGGTGACACCAATGCCGGGGAGGTGACACAACACCTGACCCACGCCACAAGAACCCCCCAGCACGCCCTTTACCTGCACAGGTGATCCGCCCGGCAGGCGCCGCGCAGGTCCAGGCAGTTGGGCTTGTCCTTGTCCTTGTCCTCGTAGGAGCAGGAGGGGACGATGGTCTGGCGGCGGCGCTCGGCGCACGCCGGGTCCTTGCAGGAGCAGAAGAGCAGGCGGAAGGTGAACTCGCTGGGCACGCGGTCGAAGAACTGGCGCAGGGCCTTGTGGCACTTGCGGCGGCTGCAGGGCTCGGTGGCCGACAGCTCCCGGCTGCAGGTGGAGATGTAGCCCGAGCGCAGGCGCTTGCAGTTGTCGTTGAGGTTGCAGGCCTTGGCCGCGTCCAGGCAGTGGTTGCTCTTGGAGGTGGTGGCCGGGTCCATTCCTGCCCGGGGGAAAAGATATTTGGGGTCAGGAAGGTGGGGAGGGAGGGATGGATGGATGGATGGATGGATGGATGGATGGATGGATGGAGAGGTGGTTGTAAAGTTGGGGAGGTGGCCTCAAAGGTGGGAGATGGTTTGTAGTGTGGGAAGATGGGATTGAGATGGGGGAATTGCTCTTGACCCCGGGAGATGCCCCCAAAGGTGGGGAGATGCCCTCAAAAACACTCTTGAGCTGGGACTGGGAGACGCCCTCAAAGGTGGGGAGATGCCCTCAAAAACACCCTTAACCTGTGACTGGGAGATGCCCTCAAGGCTGGGGAGATGCCATCAAAGGTGGGATGGGAAGAAGCCCTGAAAGCTGTGAATGAGCCTGCAAACCTGGGATAAGAAACACCCTTGACCCTGGGATGAGGAGAATTCCTTGAAACTGGGAGATGTCCTCAAACATGGGATGGGGAAATGCCCTTGCCCGGGGATGGGGAGGAACCTCCAAAGCTGGAGAGATGTCCTCAAACCTGGAGCAGGGAAAAGCCCTCAAACCCAGGATAGGGAAATGCCCCTGACCTGGGGAAGATGACAGGTGTCATGCCACCCCTGTGGCATCAGTGTCACCTCCCAGCATCCCCAGCACAGCCCATCCCATCCCTGGGTTGACCCCACCCCATTCCAGGCACAATCTGTAGGATCAACACCCCCCAAACCTCCGGGCAGAATCCAGGCCGTGAAATTGCAATATTTCTTTCCTTTTGTCAATTCTTCAAAGAATAATTATTAATTATTAATTAATTAATTAATATTCAGCTCCAAAAGTGGAATAATCAACCCAACTCCACTGTGGCTCCCACAGCCCCTCCTGGGGCTCCCCAAAAGTGGGACAGCTCCAGATAGGGATGAAAGGGACAAAAGGCTCAATCCGACATCCATTCCAGGAATCCCATCCTGGGAATCCCATCCTGGGTCCATCCTGGGAATGCCACCCTGAATCCATCCTGGGAATCCCATCCCACATCCATCCCAGGAATCCCATCCCATGTCCATCCCGGGAATCCCATCCTGCATCCATCCTGGGAATCCCATCCTGGGAATCCCATCCCTTGTCCATCCTGGGAATGCCACCCTGAATCCATCCTGGGAATCCCATCCCACATCCATCCCAGGAATCCCATCCCATGTCCATCCTGCGAATCCCATCCCATGTCCATCCTGTGTCCATCCTGGGAATCCCATCCCATGTCCATCCCTGGAATCCCATCCCTCAGGAGAGGACGGATGAGGCCAAGCCCCAGCTAGGGAACAAACACAGCATTTTCCTTTTTTTTTTTTTGCTGGGAATGACGGATCACCCTCCGCGGCTCAGGTGCTGCTTCTGAAGGCTCCTCATCCCTCATTCTCTCCCCTCCACATCCCGGCCAAATCCATGGATTCTCCTCTGCTGGCCCCCAGCTTCTGCTGCAAGGGAAGGCTCCTAATTGGCCTATCCTAATTGGAGGATGCTGATAATTAGCAAATGGCAGATCCCAGGTGAGCTTCAGCCCCCGGCTCCCTCTGCATCCCTGAAGGGGGACAGGGTCGGGGGGAGTCTTTTGTCCCATTGTCCCCAAGCTGAGAGCCACCAGCCTGGTCCTGCTGGGGATCCCGAGGATTCAGGGATCCCAATTAAACCAGGGATCCCAATTAAATGGCAAAGCCCCTTCCTGGTGCCATCCTGACCTCCTGCAGCCCTTGGAGGACATTTGGAGCTTTTTGGGGCTCGGTGCCACCCCGTGCTGTGACAGTCAAGAGCTTCCCCTGTCCCCTTCACCCAGGACCAGCACACCCAGGCTGTGCTGCCAGGAAATCCCAAATCCAGGGAGGAAAAGGTGTTTGGGAAGAGCCCTGGATGTGCCAAAGGTGCCATTCCAGAGCTGGACACCCCTGGAGAGGTTTGAGGCTTCACCTCCGCCCTGGCAGCCAAACCCCAAATCCGGGCTGGGGCAGAGATGGATGGTTTGGGTTTTCTCCAGAGGATGGACACAGCTCGAGGGGGAAAAGGGATTGGAGAGGTGGGGAAAAGGAGGATTTAGGTGGGAAAAGGGGGATTGGAGAGGTGGGGAAAAGGAGGATTTAGGTGGGAAAAAGGGAATTCAAGAGGTGAGGAAAAGGGGATTGAAGAGATGAGGAAAAGGAGGATTTAAGAGATGGAGCACCGGGGTCTCTTTACTCCCCCTGGTTTTGGGGGATGCATTTAGCCCTCCCTGCACCCCAGATCACCCCAGCCCCGAGGCCTGGAAGGGGTGAGCAGCAGATTTCCGGCACAAAACCGGGCTTTTGGGATCCGTGGGAAGCGGCAGCCGATTGTCTCCTCGGGAACATCGCTCCTGCCCTGCCCGAGACCTGCGGGGACCCGGCTGCATCTTAATGGAGCCGCGGCTTTGGAAGCGCCGCGCTCCTGGGGAGCTCATTAATAAAGCACGAGCATGAAAATTTCATGAGCAGAGGCGGAAACGGGGGCCGAGGAGCTGGGCTCGGGGGCTGGGGCCACCAGCTGTCCCCTCTGCGTGTCCCCACGGCCGCTGGGGACAGGGGAGGAAGAGCAGGAAGGGGGATAAGGAGGAGGGGGATGGGGGTTCGGTGCCCACCCCGCGCTGGAGTGCGGTGCCCGCAGGGAGAATTCCCAGCTGGAGCCTCTCCCTGCTGCCACGGGCTGTGGTTTCCTGGGGATCCAGCAGGGATGAGCATCCCGGCTTCTCTGCCCAGCGCGGGGGTCCCGCGGGTCGCGGGGAGGGGGCAGCGCCGGCTCCGCGCTCTTTACACGCGGGTTACACAGCCCCGGCTCCCCAGCCATCCCTCCGCTCCCAATTATCCCGCCGGGCAATTAACAGCTCCTTCTCCAGGAGCTGCTCCTGCTCCAGGAACAGCTCCAAGAACGCGTTCGCTTCAGCGCTCGCCATCAGGCCAGGGCCGATGTCCCCGGGGAGGGGACAGGGAGGGGGTGGCAGCAGCAGCGAGGCCACCCCGGTGCTCACAGCACCTCCCCGGCTGCACCAGGAGCCCCTTCCCCCCTTCTCCCCATCCCCAAAATCTCCCGCCCCGCTCTCCTGGATAAATCGGTGTCTAATCCCCGCTCCAGACTCGCAGCTTTCCAGATTTCCCGGCAGCTCCAGACGTTTTCCTGACGCCAATGTAATCCCAAAAAGGCGGCCGGGAGGCGGGAGGGGGTGGCAGCGTCACCCCAGAAACCCGCGCCGAGCTCCCGGGGAAAATTCACCTGGAAAAGCCTGGAAAATTCACCCCGGGGGCTGCAGGCGGCGGGGGACAGCGGTGACAGCGGCGGTGTCACAAACCCGCTGTCCCCAGGTGAGCTGGGCACGGCCCTGGGGGTGTCCCCGAGGCGTGGGGACAGTGAGACCCCCCAAAATCCCGCAGTGTGGGGGGGTTGGGGAGGGTTCAGGAGGAGGAAAAGCGAGGAGAAGCCGGGGGGGTGGCACGGGGAGGTTGTCATGGAAATGGGTGGGAAAACCCAAATTCCCCCGGATGGAGGCAGAGCTTGGGCACCCTGTGGGAGGACGCTGGGATGTTCTGAGGGACACTGGGATGCTCCAGGGGGTTCCAAGGCACACTGGGATGCTCCAAGGGACACTGGGATGCTCCAAAGGGACACTGGGATGTTCTAAGGAATACAAGGATGCTCCAAAGGGACCCAGGGATGTTCCAAGGGGCTCAAGGATGTTCTAAGGGACACAGGGATGCTCCAAAGGGGCACAGGGATGCTCCAAGGGTTCCCAAAGGTCTCAGTGGTGCTCCAAGGGACACAGGAATGTTCTAAGGGATACAGGGATGCTCCAAAGGTTTCCAAGGGGTGCTCCAAGGGAGGGAAGAATGCTCCAAGGGGCTCAGGGATGCTCCAAAGGGCTTCCAATGGATCCAGGGATGTTCCAAGGGGCTCAAGGATGTTCTAAAGGATACAGGGATGTTCTAAGGGATACAAGGATGCTCCAAAGGGTGCCAAGGGATGCTCCAAAAAGCTCAGGAATGTTCCGAGGGGCTCAGGAATGCTCCAAAGTGACGTGGGGATGTTCCAAGGGATGCAGGGATGTTCCAATGGGTTCCAAAGGGCTCAGGGGTGCTCCAAGGGACACTGGGATGCTCCAAAGGGCTCAGGAATGCTTTAAGGGACAAAAGAATCTTCCAAAGGGACACAAGGATGGTCGAAGGGCTTCCAAGGGACACGGGGATGCTCCAAAGGGACCCAGGGATGATCCAAGGGATCCTCCAAAGGATCCTCCAAAGGGCTCAAGGATGCTCCAAGGGACACAGGAATCTTCCGAGGGACACAGGGATGCTCCAAAGGGGTTCCAGAGGACACAGGGATGCTCCAAGGGACACAGGGATATTCCAAGGGGGAGGTTGTCATGGAAATATGCTCCAAAGGGACCCAGGGATGCTCCAAGGGTCTCAGCACCCCTCTCCCAGCAGCTTCCCAGAGCTCAGCTCGAGGCTGCTGCCCCGGGGAGGGGACAGCAAACGGGGCCCCCCTCAGCTCCACCCCATCCCGAGGGTCCCAAATCCTCCAGAACACCAAGAATTCTACTGGGAATTCCATGGGAAGGGCTGCACCCCGCTGGATCCAGCGCTGGGTTTGTGCCTCCCCAGTGCTGGGGACAACACAAATTCAGGGAATCCCGGGAATTCCAGGTTTCCCAGCGATTTTATATAAACCCAAACCCCTAAATCCCAGAAACAGAAAGAATCCACCCCAAAAATACATCAAACCCCCAAAATGATGCGCAGGACCCCAAATTTGGGGGGAACAGAAGGGGAGGAGAGGCTGGAGGAGCAAAGGACGAGGCCCAGGGGAGGGAGGTGGAGGGATGGAGCCTTTCCCTGGCTGGGAGCAGCTCTGTGTTCACCGGCAGGAGATAAAACACGGCGCTTTTATTACCTGAGAAAATTGAAGCGAGTCTGAATATATCAGAGAGACGAGAGGTGACCGGCTCGTACGGGGAGGCTTCATAAAATTCCTCTCCTTCGGTGGGAGGAAAGGCAGGGGAAAAAGGGAGAAAAAAGGAAATTAAAGCCCGTGGTGAATAATCTCAGCCAGTTCCAGGAACAGAAACCCCCCTGGTTCAGGGAGGGAAAAGTAAAAAGATTTCCAGGCACTGGAATTAAAGGAAAGGGGGATGTGGGAGAGGTTCAGGGAATTTTGGCTGTGGTGCGTCCTGTGGCCAGCCAGGTTTGGTGGTGGCCAATCCCAAAGGATTCCAGGAGTTGAGAGGATTGGGATATTCCAGGGGGAGGGGCACTGAGTTCAAGGCTGGAAGTTTTGGGGTCCACACTCAACTCTGGATTCTTTTATTGCTACAAAATCCCAAAAAAAAAGACCTAAAAAGACCTCAAAAAAAAACCCTAAAAACCTGTTCTCAACTCTGGGTTCTTTTATTGTTACAAAATCCCCTAAAAACACCTAAAAAACCTAAAAACCTGTTCTCAGCTCTGGGTTCTCTTATTATTACAAAATCCCCTAAAAAACCTAAAAACCTGTTCTCAGCTCTGGGTTCTCTTATTGTGATAAAATCCCCTAAAAAAGGAATTCAGGAATCTCTTGGAAACCCCTGAGTGGAAATCCAGGCAGGGAGCAAAGCAGGAGGGAAATTCCAAGGAATTTCCTGGGAAATTTGGGAGGGAAATCCCAAAATTTGGGAGGGAAAGACCCCGCTGGGATGTCCCTATCCTGGGCTGCTCTCAGGGTGATGGGATTTGGGGACAATGCCCTGAGGGTGGCTCCTGATCCTCACCAGGAATAGGAACAGGATCCAAACCCCACTCCAGGCCATCCCCTAGAAATTTGGGAGGAAAATTTGGGAGGGAAGAAAATTTGGGAGGAAAATTTGGGAGGGAGCTGGGATGTCCCTACTCCCTGCAGATTCCCAGCGATGTCACCGCTGCTCTTGTGGTGATGGAATTTGGGGACAACACCCTGAGGGCAGCTCCTGATCCTCACTGGGAGTGGGAACAGGATCCAAATCCTGTTACTCAGTGACATTCCCAGGAAATTTGGGAGGAAAAGACCCCGCTGGGATGCCCCTGTTCCCTGCAGATTCCCAGTGCTGCTCTTGTGTGATGGAATCTGGACAACGCCCCGAGGGCAGCTCCTGATCCTCACTGTGAATGGGAACATGATCCAAACCCCGCTCCAGGCCATTCCCAGGAAATTTGGGAGGAAAAGACCCCGCTGGGACGTCCCTGTTCCCTGCAGGTTCCCAGTGCTGCTCTCGGAGTGATGGGATTTGGGCACAACGCCCCGAGGACGGCTCCTGATCCTCACCGGGAATGGGAACAGGATCCAAACCCCGCTCCAGACCATTCCCTCTCCCCTCTCCGTCTTTCCCTCTTGAATAAAGTGCGTTTAGGCGGCCCCGTAACCTCCATCGCTGCCATAAATAATTAAACACCCGCTTGACTCCTGCTGCTCGCCAGGGAAATTACCGAGCATTAACGGGGCGCTGGACCTGCCTGGAGCCACAATTAACCCCCAGGAAGGAGGCTGGAGCCTCCCTAATAGCAGGGAGAGCTCGGATGGGAGGAGGGGAACCCCGAAATCTCCGCTAAAAGGCACAAATTTGTGTTCCTCGTTGCTTCGCGCACGGTAAAGGATCGCCACAAAGCTTCCGCCTCTCCTTAAAGCTCGGCTTAATCACGGCTCTTCCCTCCTCCAGGTGCAATTCCCATTCCCTCATTCATTCCCGAAAAACCCCGGGAAACTGCTCAATGAGGGCAGCTAATGAGCGGGAGAAAACAATTAGGGCGTAATTCCTGCTCTGGGCCGGGGTTTGGGGCTCTGCTTCCTGCACTGACCCAGATTTGGAGGGAATTTCACCCAGGGGGGCCCTGGGCTCAGGTACGGCTCCCCTACATCCTCTGGAAGAGTTTTCCCACCCTCTGGAAGAGTTTTTCCAGTTTTCCCACACTCTGGAAGAGTTTTCCTTGGGTACAGCTCCTCCATCCTCAGCTCCAGCTCTCCCACCCTCGGGCACACCTTCCCCACAGAATTCCAGAATTCCCAGCCTGCTCTGGGTTGGAAAGGGCCTTAAAAATCTCATCCCAACCCCCCTGCCACGGGCAGGGAGCTCTTCCACCAGCCCAGGTGATTTTGGCACAAACGCAGGTGGATTTGGGGGCTCAGTGCTGAGCCTCAGGTGCCCATCTTGAATTTCCTGGGGGTTTCATCTGAATTTCCTGGGGTGCCCATTCTTCTATCCTGGGGTGTTTATCTGCCCTACCTGAGCTGCTCACCTGGGGGTTTAATCTGAATTCCTTGGGATTTTCACCTGAATTTTCTGGGGTGCCCATTTTTCCTCCCTGGGCTCCACATCTGCCCTATCTGGGGTGCTCACCTGGGGTTTAATCTGAATTCCCTGGGGTGCCTATTTGAATCTCCTGGGGTTTTTATTTAATTTTCCTGGGGTTTTCATCTGAATTTCTTGGGGTTTTCATTTAATTTTGTGGGGTTTTTATCTGAATTCCCTGGCCTGCCCACCTGGCCGACCACCCCTCACCCCATTTCCCCCCAGTTCACCCAAACCCCCTCAAACCTCCCCAAACTCCAGCAACGCCCTCCCCACCCCCACCACTCCCAGGGTGCTCCTTTGGGGTCTCCCCATCACCCCACGCTCATCCATTGGGGTGTCTCATCCCCATCATCCCCAGGATGATCCTTTGGGGTCTCCCCATCACCCCCAGGGTGCTCCTTTGGGACCTCGCCCTCCCCATTCCCATCACCCCAAGAAGCTCCTATGGGATTTTCCCATCCCCATTGTTGATCCCACCCCCAGGTGAACCATTAGCATCTCCCCATCACCCCCAGGGTGATCCTTTAGGGTCTCTCCATCCCCATCACCCCAGGAAACTCCATTTGGGACCCCTCTCCCCATCCCCATCACTTCCAGGGCACTCCTTTAGGGTCTCCCCATCTCCATCCCCATCACCCTGGGGTGATCCATTGGGGTCTCCCCCTCCCCATCACCCCCAGGGTGATCAGTTGGGGTCTCCCCATCACCCCAGGGAACGCCATTTGAGATCCCTCTCCCCATCCCCACCACTCCAGGGCACTCCTTTGGGGTCTCCTCCACTCCAGGGCGCTCCTTTAGGGTCTCCCCATTACCCCAGGGAACTCCATTTGAGATTGCTCTCCCCATCCCCACCACTCCAGGGTACTCCTTTGGGGTCTCCCCATCACCCCAGGGTGCTCCTTTGGGGTCCCCACCACTCCAGGGCACTCCTTTGGGGTCTCCCCCACCCCAGGGCGCTCCTTTAGGGTCTCCCCACCACCCCACTCTGATCCATTGGCATCTCCCCATCCCCCCCACCCCAAACCCCTCCTTTATGATCTCCCCCACCCCAAAACGCTCCTTTACGACCCCCCACCACCGCCATACCTTCAGCCAGCCCCAGGTGGATGCTCCAGTAGATCTGAAGGCACTGCAGCTCCTTCTTCATGCCCCTCTTGCAGCGGCAGTGCTGCAGGGGGCTCTCCTGCAGCACCTCCAGGGCCAGCTGGCACTCGCGGTTGGCCAGCATGGTGTTCCTGTCGCGCCCGGCCAGGCACTGCCGCAGGGTGCGGTAGCGGGAGCTGCAGCCCGGCTCGCCCGCGCACAGCTCGTTGGCTCGCACGCAGTCCACCGGAGCTCGCCAGCCCGGCGGGGACAGCGCCGGCGGCGAGGGGGGCCCGGCCAGCGAGCGCAGCACCTCATCTGGGCCGGGCAGCGACAGGCGAGGGAGAGGAGGGCACAGGTTAGGGAGGAAGGTGAGCGCCGGCCCGAAGGAGCGCCCCGGATAGGGTAGGGGGGGTGCCCCGAGAGGGAAAATGGGCAGGGAATTCAGCTTGAAACCCCAGGGAATTCAGGTTAAAACCTCCAGGGGATTCAGGTGAAAATCCCTGGAAATTCAGATTAAAACCCCTGGAAATTCAGATTAAAACCCCTGGAAATTCAGATTAAAACCCCTGGAAATTCAGATTAAAACCCCTGGAAATTCAGATTAAAACCCCAGGGAATTCATATTAAAACCCCCAGGGAATTCAGATTGAAACCCCAGGTGTCTCCCCATCACCCCCAGGGTGCTCCTTTGGGACCTCGCCCTCCCCATTCCCATCACCCCAAGAAGCTCCTATGGGATTTTCCCATCCCCATTGTTGATCCCACCCCCAGGTGAACCATTAGCATCTCCCCATCACCCCCAGGGTGATCCTTTAGGGTCTCTCCATCCCCATCACCCCAGGAAACTCCATTTGGGACCCCTCTCCCCATCCCCATCACTTCCAGGGCACTCCTTTAGGGTCTCCCCATCTCCATCCCCATCACCCTGGGGTGATCCATTGGGGTCTCCCCCTCCCCATCACCCCCAGGGTGATCAGTTGGGGTCTCCCCATCACCCCAGGGAACGCCATTTGAGATCCCTCTCCCCATCCCCACCACTCCAGGGCACTCCTTTGGGGTCTCCTCCACTCCAGGGCGCTCCTTTAGGGTCTCCCCATTACCCCAGGGAACTCCATTTGAGATCGTTTGGGGTCCCCCCATCCCCCCAGGGTGCTCCTTTGGGGTCCCCACCACTCCAGGGCACTCCTTTGGGGTCTCCCCCACCCCAGGGTGCTCCTTTAGGGTCTCCCCACCACCCCACTCTGATCCATTGGCATCTCCCCATCCCCCCCACCCCAAACCCCTCCTTTATGATCTCCCCCACCCCAAAACGCTCCTTTACGACCCCCCACCACCGCCATACCTTCAGCCAGCCCCAGGTGGATGCTCCAGTAGATCTGAAGGCACTGCAGCTCCTTCTTCATGCCCCTCTTGCAGCGGCAGTGCTGCAGGGGGCTCTCCTGCAGCACCTCCAGGGCCAGCTGGCACTCGCGGTTGGCCAGCATGGTGTTCCTGTCGCGCCCGGCCAGGCACTGCCGCAGGGTGCGGTAGCGGGAGCTGCAGCCCGGCTCGCCCGCGCACAGCTCGTTGGCTCGCACGCAGTCCACCGGAGCTCGCCAGCCCGGCGGGGACAGCGCCGGCGGCGAGGGGGGCCCGGCCAGCGAGCGCAGCACCTCATCTGGGCCGGGCAGCGACAGGCGAGGGAGAGGAGGGCACAGGTTAGGGAGGAAGGTGAGCGCCGGCCCGAAGGAGCGCCCCGGATAGGGTAGGGGGGGGTGCCCCGAGAGGGAAAATGGGCAGGGAATTCAGATTGAAACCCCAGGGAATTCAGGTTAAAACCTCCAGGGGATTCAGGTGAAAATCCCTGGAAATTCAGATTAAAACCCCAGGGAATTCATATTAAAACCCCCAGGGAATTCAGATTGAAACCCAGGTGAGAGCCCCGGATAGGATAGGTAGGGACCCCGGGAGGAAAAATGGCAGGAAATTCAGATTGAAAGCCCCGGGGAATTCAGGTTAAAACCCCCTGGGAATTCAGATTAAAACCCCAGGGGATTCAGGTGGAAATCCCAAGAAATTCAGATTAAAACCCCAGGTGAAAATCCCAGGAAATTCAGATTAAAACCCCAGGTGAGCACCCCAGTTAGGGTAGGTGAGGACCCCGGGGAAGAAAAATGGACAGGGAATTCAGATTAAAGCCCCCAGGGGATTCAGATTGAAACTCCCAGGGGATCCAGATTAAAACCCCAGGTGAGCGCCCCAGATAGGATAAGTAGGGACCCCGGGAGGAAAAATGGGCAGGGAATTCAGATTAAAACCTCCAGGAAATCCAGATTAAAACCCTAGGTGAGGGCCTCGGACAGGGCACATGGGGATCCCCCGGGAGGAAAAATGGGCAGGAAATTCAGATTGAAGCCCCCAAAGAATTCAGATTAAAACCCCAGAGAATTCAGATTAAAACTCCCAGGGAATTCAGATTAAAACCCCGGGTGAGCAGCTCAGGTAGGGTAGATGGGGACCCCAGGAAAGAGGAATGAGCACCCAGAAAATTCAGGTGAAAATCCCAGTAAAATCAGGTTAAAACCCTCAGGAAATTCAGATAAAAACCCTTAGGTGAGCACCCCAGACAGGGCTGATGGGGACCCCCGGGGAGGAAAAATGGGAAGGAAATTCAGATAGAAACCCCCAGGGAATTCAGATTAAAACCCCAAGGAATTCAGATTAAAACCCTCAGGAAATTCAGGTTAAAACCCCCAGGTGAGCACCGCAGACAGGGCAGACGGGGACCCCAGGGAGGAAAAATGGGCAGGAAATTCAGGTTAAAACCCAGAGAATTCAGATAGAAACCCCCTGGGAATTCAGATTAAAACCCCCAGGAAGTTCAGGTGAAAATCCCAGGAAATTCAGGTGAAAACCTTAGATGAAAATGCCAGGAAATTCAGATTAAAACCCCAGAAAATCCAGATGGGCACCTGAGGCTCAGCACTGAGCCCCCAAATCCACCTGCGTTTGTGCCAAAATCACCTGGGCTGGTGGAAGAGCTCCCTGCCCGTGGCAGGGGGGTTGGGATGAGATTTTTAAGGCCCTTTCCAGCCCAAAGCAGGCCAGGAATTCTGGAATTCTGTGGGGAAGGTGTGCCCGAGGGTGGGAAAGCTGGAGCTGAGGATGGAGGAGTTGTGCCTGTGCCTGGAGCCAGCTGAGATTATTCACCACGGGCTTTAATTTGCTTTTTTTCTGGCTTTTTTCTCCCGTCAAAGGAGAGGAATTTTCCCAAGGGTGGCAGTATCAGCCCAGCCTGGGAATCATGGAATTGTCTGGGCTGGAATGGGTTTTTAAGAACTGAAAGAGGGAAAATTGAGGAGGAAAGAGGGAAAGGAAAGGGGGAAAAGGAAAGGGGGAAAAGGAAAGGAATTCTTCTCTGGGAGGGGCTGGGATGGAATTCCCAGGGGAGTTGTGGCTGCCTCGTCCCTGGAAGTGCTCAAGGCCACCTTGGAGAAACCTGGGATGGTGGAAGGTGTCCTTGCCCATGGCAGGGGCTGGAATGAGATCCCACCATCCTGGAATGGCTTGGGTGGGAAGAGACCTTTAAACCACCGTGGGCAGGGACACCTTCCCTACTCCAGGCTGCTCCAAGCCCCGTCCAGCCTGGCCTGGAGCACCTCCAGGGGTGTCCCTGCCTCCCCCACAGCCGGGATTGCCCGGTGGGGGTGGGGAGCTGCAGGGTTAATCCCACACCTCAGCCGGGGACCTGGCGTTCCTTGTTCCCTCCAAAGCCACCCATGAGAGCTCCGGAGCCCCGGGGGCAGCGGCTCCATCCCGAGTCCCCGCGCACAGCCTGCCTTTGGCTGCTCATCCTCCCCAGCCCCGTCACAGGATTTTTAGGGCATCTGACTCATGGATTTTGGAGCGCTCGGCCTTGGCAGGGCCGCGGGGCAGCTGCGGCTCCGAACAGGAGCTTCCCTCCGGGGTGGCAGCGGGCCAGCGCGGCCGGCTCCTGTCCCTGTCCCTGTCGCTGTCCCCGCTCGGACCCTGCCCCCGCATTCCCACAGCTCTCCCGCTGTTCCCATCATTTCCGCATCTGCTTTTCCCCCTGGAAATATTCCTGCTAAATCCAGGCAAAATTCCTGCTAAATGCGGCCCAGGCGAAGCCGGGCTTGTCCCCTCCCCGGTGGAATTGGGGACAGGCAGCGCTGGTTCCCCCCCGCCCCCAGGGTGATGGGGACAGGACCCGCTGTCACTCCTGGCCCCTCCTCCCCCCTCCAGCTCCCAGGGAAAGCCCTGGAGCAAGGAAAAGTGGGAATGGCAGCACCTGGAGGGGACCCTGCTCTGCTCCGGGGGGCGATGGGGGCGGGACCCCGCTCTGTGCCCGCCCTGGTGCCCGCCAAGGGTGGTGGGCAGGGGTGACCCCTCGGTGTGTCCCCGTCCCTGTCCCCTCCCGCCTGGCACCGCCTCGGCCACCGCTGGCAGCCCCTTCCCCAGCCCGGGTCTGGCAGGGGGACAGTGACACCTACAGGAACGCGACAGGGGCCACCCGTGTGTCCCCCACAGCGGGCGGGGCTGGTCCCCTGCCCCCCCGAGGCTGGGCACGCGTCCCTGCCCGCTGTGTCCCTCGGGAGCGGGTGGCACTGGAGCCGTGTGGGTGGCACTGGAGCGGGTGGCACTGGAGCGGGTGGCCGTAGATATCTCTGCCCACCTCGGGTGCCAGGGGGGCTCTGAGGAGGGACAGGAGCAGGGTGGGCGGTGCCCAGGCGGGGACACCTCCGCTGGCTGCGGTCACTCCAAGGAACAGATCCACAGATCCCGGTGTCCAGCCGATGTTCCCAGAGGTCTGGAGAGCGCCCAGGAGCCCCCAGAGCCACGTTAGATCCAGCCTGGAGCAGCAGATTCCCCTCGGGAAGGCCAGGCCAGGCCAGGCCAGGCCTGGCAGGATTGTATTCCACACGGGAGGCAGGCGGGATCCGTGAGGGACTGGAGGAGAAACGGGTGCCCCAAACGCTGATCCCGGGGCTGGGAATGCCAGAGCCTCGCCACGCCATGGGTGGTGCCTTGGGATGATGCTGTGGAACTCTGCGCCTTCACACGCCAGGAAATCCCATCCTGAGGCATCCAAAAAATGGGAAACTGGGAAAAACTGATCCTACTGCAGCCATGGTCACAGGGAAACTGCTCCAGGGCATTGGAGACATTCCAGAGCTCCACCAGGCATGGAGAGCTGTTGCAGAATTCCATGGAGATGGAGAGCCATTCCAGAGCTCCACTGGGTGTGGAGAGCTGTTCCAGAGCTCCACCAGGCATGGAGACTATTCCAGAATTCCATGGACATGGAGAGCCATTCCAGAGCTCCACGGGGTGTGGAAAGCCATCCCACAGCTCCACCAGATCTGGAGATTCAGCCCTCAGCTGCATCAGGTGTGGAGAACCATTCCAGAATTCCATGGACATGGAGAGCCTTCCCACAGCTCTGCTGGACATGCTGAGCCATCCCAGAGCTCCACCAGGCATGGAGAGCTATTCCACAGATCCACTGGACATGGAAAGCCATTCCTGAGCTCTGTTGGGCTTGGAGAACCATTCCAGAGCTCCACTGGGTGTGAAAAGCCATTCCAGAGCTCCACTGGACATGGAGAACCATTCCAGAGCTCCACTGGGTGTGAAAAGCCGTTCCAGAGCTCCACTGGATGTGGAGAACTGTTCCAGAGCTCCACCACATTCCAACCTGTCCCATCTCAGCTCCAGCTCCAGCCCTGCTTGCCCCAGCTCCAACTCACACTTCTCCAGAAGCCTCGTCCCAAAAATCCCCTCCTCTGGCCACATTCCTGTCCCCATGGGCAGGGCAGGGTCACATGCTTGCCCTGGCACCAAAGGACCACCTGGAACATCCTTGGGTGCCCTCTGGGTGGGTCAGGTTGGGAATCCCAGAAGAAATCCCCTCTCTGGGAGCAGCAGGGATGAGCTGTGTGGGCGAGCTGGTCCCGATCCTCCTGCCTTTTGCCATTTTCCCACCTTTCTCCCACGGTTTTGCAGGGAACGGGGTCCTGCGAGCCCCTCGGTGGCACCGGCAGCATGCGGCACCGCCGGAGCCGGGAGTGCCGGCGGATCCTGGAGCGGGAAGGGCGGGCACAGCCCTTTGTCGTGCTGCCCCAGATCCCGCAGGATTGGGGCTTTTTCCAGCCTGGGTGCTTTCCTTGGAGCCCCCCGCTCCTCCCGGCTCCTCATTCCCACCTAGGAGTTTGGGTGGAGGGGGAAACTGAGGAGGGGGATTTTTTACCCCCCAGAAAAACCCCTCCCGGCAGAGCCGCCCTCCCGGAACTCCGTGGCTGAAACATCTGCAGAGAATTCCCGGCTAATCCTCGGCAGGCTCTGGGGTACTGGAGCACAGCGAGGATTTGCACAAGGTGCTGGCCTCTTTTCCTGCCGTTCCCACGGCTTCTCCCGGCTCCAGCAGCCTCTTCCCGAGCTCTAATCCATGTTCTCCTGCTCTGCTTCTGCCGGAGACCTTCGGAGAGCCGGCAGCTTTAGAGGGAAATGTTTCTCCTGGCGAGGATCACTCCGGAACACGCAGCTTCCCAGCCAGGACCAAAGGGATTTTCTGGCTTCCCGGGAATGATGCCGGCTGGGAAGAGCTGGATGTTCCTTCTCCAGGATCCTCAGCGTGAGGCCACGCCATGGTCACCCCATCCCTGAATCTGGGGGTGCAGGGTCCCTGCTCAGGGTTCCAGCTCCTCAGCCTCGCCCTGCACCCACAGAACCTTGGGGACAGCCAGGGATGGGGGGGGGAGGGACACCCAGGGATGGGGGCAGGGTCCTGCTTCGATGCCAACCCCGCTGTGAGGGCAGGTGGGCCCTGGTTTGGATGCCTGATGTGGGGCATCCCTGTCCCCCTGGAGGTCCCTGTGCCCCAAATCTCTCCCTGAGCCATCCAGCTGTGCCCGGACACGTGTCCAGATGTGCCCAGACACACATCCAGATGTCCAGCTGTGCCCCCAGCCAGGCTGGAGCACCCTTCCCCCCCACACACGGGGGTGTCCCCACTGGTGTCCCCACCCCGCCCCTTTCTCTCTGTCTGAGGGCGTCACCCGAGCCCCCCGCCCTGGCACCCCCCGACCCCTCCGGGCAGGGGCTCCCCCAGCCCAGGACTCGGTCCCCACCTGCTCAGGCCTCTGTCCCCCCGTCCCCAAAGGCTTGGGGGGCACCCGCCCCCCCGGGCACCCCGTGCCTCGCTGGGGTGGCGCTGGGAGCAGGGCAGAGCCCGTGCCCCCCGTTCCAGCCGGGAGCAGAGCGCTCCCCGGGGACCCCGAGCCCCCCCGGAACGAGGCTGTGCCAACCTTCAAGTCTCCCTCAGCAGCCTCCTGTCCCTGTCCCTTGTCCCTGTCCCTGTCCCCCAGCCCAGGCCGGCTCCTCAAAGTTCTCCGGGCGCTGCAGCGAGCCGGGATCGCATCCCAGGCAGCCGCGAGCTGCGGGAGCCGGGAATGGCCCCGGGAGCGCGGCACGCCCGAGCGGCGGAGGGCGAGCCCCGAGCATCGCCGTTTCCTTTCCCTTTCACCCCAAAGCCAGCGCGGGCTGCGGCTGCTCCCCTTTCCAGCGGCTGCTGCCAGGGGAGGCTGCGCTGGGAACGGGAGCGTTCTCCCGGCACAAAGCTCCGAGCCGCCCGCGGCTCCGGCGCGATCCGGGCGCGGGGACGGCGATTCCCCACGCAGGAACCCGAGCCACGAGCTCAACTTTCCCCGCCGAGTGTCCACGCCGCGTTCCCAAGCTCTGGAATGGCGCGGGGGGAGGATGGAGGGCAGCGGGGGACACGGGTGGGAAGGGGAGAAGGGGGAGATGTCCCCCGAAACGCAAATCCGCGCTGGTTTGCCAAGGGGAGCGGGCATGGGGGACGGGCAGGGCTCGGCTGCTGGGTGATCCTGCTCGCTCCGGCCCCGAGGGGGCGGCTGGGCTTGTGTCCCCCGTGTCCCCCTCCCCGTTTCAAGTTGACGGGGAATAGGAAATGAAGTTAAACCCCTCGCCGTGCCCCTCTCCTGCCGCAGCGCCGGTGCCAGCTCGGAGGGGCTCGCTCGCTGCCTCAGCCCCCGCAGCCCCTCGCCCAGGGGGAACGCGCCACCTCGGCCAGGCGACAGCCGCCACCCCGCCCCCGGCACCCCCGCCGGGGCCACTCACCTACGAAGAGGACGATGCAGAAGGCGTTTGCCAAGATCATGGTAGGAAATCCACGCGCTCCTCCACGTGTGCAAAAAAATGATGTTAAAAATCAGGCAAAAAAAAAAAAAAAAAAAGGGCGGGGGGGGGGGGGAGGGGGGAGAATAAAAAAAGATTTAATAATTCCCAAGGCGGTCAGGTAGATCCTAAATCCGGTGGGCTGGAAGCGAAGGGAAGGGGGGTGTGCTCCGCCCGGCGCGGAGCCGGGTCCTCAGCCGCTCGCCGCCTCCCGCATCCCCGCCGGGCTCCGCGGCGCGCTCCGGGCTCGGCGGCTCCGCCGGGCTCCCGCCGGCTTCTGCCGAGCTCCGGCTGCCGGGGAGGGGGCGCGCAGCCTTCCTCCTCCTCATCCTCATCCCCCAGCCCCAGCGGGTGCTGGAACCCCTCACTCCTCTCTCTGTCCCTGATTTGGGGTCAGGACCCTCCAAGCCCCATCCTGGGAAGCAGGAACGAGGAGGAGGAGGATGCTCCATGGGATCACCCCGATAAAGGGCCTGGGGAGCAGGAGGAGAGGGGGAGCACAGCGCTGGGGGTGTCCTCATTCCCGAGGTGGAGCCTGCAGTGACCAGGACATCTCTCACTTGGCCAGGTCACAGCTGGCTCGCTGTTCCGGGTGTTACACCTGCAGCCAGATTTCCCCAAATCCATTCCCGGGACACTGATCCCGCTGCTCTCCCTCCCCATCCTGCTCCGATGGGATCCCAGCAGCAGGAGCTGCTTCAGGCCATGGCCAGGCCCCTCTGCCTCTTCCTCAGGAGGGCAAATTCCTGCTTGTTCCCTGCCTGGATCCCCGGATAAATCCCTGGCTAACTCCTGCCTGGATCCCTGGAAAAATCCTGCCTGGGCTGTTGGATCCTACCTGGATCCTTAGAAAAAACCCATCTGGATCCCTGGAAAAAACCCACCTGGTTCCCTGGAAAAAACCCTGGTTAACTCCTACCTGGATCCTGGATAAAACCCACCTGGATCCCTGGATAATGCCTGCCTGGATAATTCATGCCTGGATAATTCCTGCCTGGATCCCTGGGTAAATCCCACCTGGTTAATTCATGTCTGGATAAATCCTGCCTGGATCCCTGGATAAATCCCACCCGGATCCCTGGATAATTCATGTCAGGATAATTCCTGCCTGGATCCCTGGGTAAATCCCACGTGGTTAATTCATGTCTGGATAAATCCTGCCTGGATCCCTGGATAAATCCTGCCAGGATCCCTGGATGAATCCTGCCAGGATCCCTGGATAAGTTCCACCCGGATCCCTGGTTAATTCACATCTTCGTGGCACCTCGTGGACAGAATTCCCAGAACGGGGATCCTCTCTCCGCTCCTCTCCCTGTCCCTCCCGGGCTCAGGGCTGTGCCAGAGGGCGGCTCGGCCCCCCCAGGTGACACCGGAGGGGTTTTGTCCCCGCAGCCGCTCCGCCAGGGGAAGGCACAGCCCCACCCGGCCTTTCCCCGGGTTTTATTCCCTCAGCCCCCGCCCCAGAGCCTGCCGGGGCTGGGAACCACGGCATCCAGCGGGAAACGCCGCCTCTAATTCCCTGAGCACGTTAATTAGCTCGGCCCGTGAGGGAGGGGTGGGATAGGGGTCATGGATCCTATGGTGGGATCATCCCGGAGCGTTCCCACTTATCAGGAGCAGGCTGCTTCCCGGCCTCTCATTTGGGATTTGGGATTTATTCCAGCTCAATTTACAGCCTGGAAACTTCCTAAATCAGGGGCAGCATCCCGCAGTTCATTGTCCCTCCTCGTGCCGGGTTTTGGGGGAAGGAGAGGTTGGATTCTCCTGTGGGAGCAGGGGGGTTGGCGTTGGGAGGGGACACGCAGGGGACAGTCCCTTCGCAGCCATCCCTGCACAAAGGGGGCTCTGTCTGGAGCTGCCCGTCCCGGTCGGAAGGAAAAGGGAGGCTCGGAGGGGTCAGGGTGGGATGCAGATCCGGGTTTTGAGAGACCGGCAAGGCCTCATCGTGCCGGGGGAGAGCAGTGAGCGCTGATAGAAATATTCACGCTTGGGGGGAGAAAAAAAAATACAAAAAAACCCTACAAAAACCCTACCAGAAACTCCACAACTTTATTCCCAGCCTTTGTGGGATGACAAGGTTAATCAGCAAAGCCGATTACAGGGACGCAGCCGGCTCCCAGTGCTCCCAGTGCTCCCAGTGCCTCCAGCAGGGACGGGCACAGCCGGGGGCGGCTGCTCTCTCCCACTTCCAAAGGATCCCGATGGCTCCAGCGTGCCCTGGGGATGGAGAGCCCTCCCCGGCGTGGCTTTGTTCCCACACGGGAGTTGATCGATGGGAGCGGCGGATCCCTCCCCTCCTTCCCTTTAAGTCCCATTAATATGGGTGGGATTTGCTCACCCTCCCGACTCCGGGCTTTAATTCCGCAGAGCGTTATCACATTAATGGGAGTCAAGGTTGTTACCGTGATGGATTAGGCATTAGCGGTGTGTAATCCGTGGGGACGGAGCCGCTCTCCGCGCTCTCCCCGCCTGCTCCTGGTCCTGCAAACACCGCGAGGAGCCTCAGCAGCTCGGCTGGGGCTGGGTGTGTCCCCGGCAGGGACACCTGGGTGAGGAGAGGGGACATCCGCGCCTGGGTGCTGCTTCCCTTTGCGCCGAGCCCGGGCTGTGCCCTGCAGGAAATGCCCCATTTCGGGAGCCTGCAGCAGCCTGAGCCCCACGTGGGAGTTTTTAGGGACTCAGGGATGGCTGGAAGGCGGGATCTCACCCTGCTCTCAGCCCCGGCGCTCCTGAATCCCAGCGATGGAGCAGGAGTAGGGCATCGCCCCCCTGAGCCCAGTTTGGGGCTGGGAATTCCCAGATCGGGGCTTTGCCCTCCCGGGATGTGCAGCAAACCGAGCCCCCTCTGATCAATTCCTTTTAGCTCCCAAACCCTGGAATTCTGCCCATTACAGAGCCACAGCTTGCTTTGTTTGGAAGGGACCCTAAAGCCACCCAGTGCCACCCCTGCCATGGGCAGGGCCACCTCCCACCATCCCAGCTTGCTCCAAACCCGGCCTGGAATTCATTTCCTGCCCTTGCAGATGTGACTCCAGTATTTTATATTATTTTTCACTCGGGGCAAGGTTTACCCCAGCCCCGGCAGTGCGGAGGGCACGGAGGGTTCACTGCGGGCACAAGGACACCCTTGGGGACATTCCGAGTCCCTCCCCCTTCCCAGAGCTCCTCCGCACTTCCCGCTGCCGGGAAAGCCCCGTATCCTCATCCTCACCCTCATCCTCATCCTCATCCTCCCTCGGCCCCCGGGGGCTCTCCGCTGCCCGGGGGCCGAGCCCGCGGGGCCGTCGGGGCCCGGCCGCTCGCCCTTGCCGCGGGTGATTCCTCGGGGATCGCGTTCCCAGCGCTGCTGACAGCAGCCGGCTCGTGGCCACGGGCCATGGGAGTCCTTGGAACACCCCGACACTGATGGACCCCGACAGCTCCACGCAAAGCAGAGGCTATTTTTGCCCTCGCTGCTGTTTTCTGAACTGATTTTGCCTCTTTAACCTCTGCCGGGGAATCCAGCCCCTTCCCTGCTGCTTCCTGACGGCTCCGAGTCATTGTTGGAAATGCCAGCCCGAATGCCACCGAATTTTTGGGAGCTCACAGTGACCTGCACGTGGCAGGTGGCCTTGTGAGGGGACAGACCCAGTGCCACCAGGGATGCTGCAGCCACCTCCAGCTGTCAACGAGTTTTTGGGAGTTTGTGGTGACCTGCACATGGCAGAGCCATTGCACTGGTGGCCCTGGGAAGGGACAGACCCAGTGCCACCAGGGATGCCACAGCCACTCCTTCATGTCACAGAGTTTTTGGGAGTTCACAGTGACCTGCACATGGCCAGTGGCCTTGTGAGGGGACAGACCCAGTGCCACCAGGGATGCCACATCCACCCCCTGCTGTCACTGAACTTTTGGGAGCTCACAGTGACCTGCACGTGGCAGAGCCACCGCACTGGTGGCATCCCAGTGCCACCATGGATGCTGCAGCCACCTCTTCCTGTCAGTGAATTTTTGGGAGCTCACAGTGACCTGCACATGGCCCTGTGAGGGGACAGACCCAGTGCCACCAGGGATGCCACATCCACCCCCTGCTGTCACTGAACTTTTGGGAGCTCACAGTGACCTGCACGTGGCAGAGCCACCGCACTGGTGGCATCCCAGTGCCACCATGGATGCTGCAGCCACCTCTTCCTGTCAGTGAATTTTTGGGAGCTCACAGTGACCTGCACATGACAGAGCCACAATGCTAGTGGCACTGGGTCTGTCCCTTCCCAGGGCCACCATGAATTCTGCGGCCACCTCCTCCTGTCACTGAATTTTTGGGAGCTCACAGTGACCTGCACACGGCAGAGCCACCGTGCTGGTGGCCCGGGGTGGGGACAGACAGAGCCACCGCACTGGTGGCATCCCAGTGCCACCATGGGTGCTGCAGCCACCTCTTCCTGTCAGTGAATTTTTGGGAGTTCACAGTGACCTGCAGGTGGCCCTGTGAGGGGACAGACCCAGTGCCACCAGGGATGCCACATCCACCCCCTGCTGTCACTGAATTTTTGGGAGCTCACAGTGACCTGCCCACGGCAGAGCCACCGCGCTGGGGGCCCGGGGTGGGGACAGACCCAGGGCCACCATGAATGCTGCGGCCACCTCCTCCTGTCACTGAATCTTTGGGAGCTCACAGTGACCTGCACACGGCAGAGCCACCGCGCTGGTGGCCCGGGGTGGGGACAGGCGCGGTCCCTCCCCGCGGAGGAGCTGTCACCTCTGCCGCTCTCACGGCCGTCAGCCTCGGCGGCCCCAAATCGCAGCTGACATTTCCATGCAAGCCCTCGGCACCTGAGCCAGACGCCGGCGCCGGGAGGGAAGCGCTCGGGAATTTTCTGTGCCAAGGAACAGATTCCTGCTCACTCCCCGCTCTGCCCCGGTGTCCCAGCGTGGCTCCAGCGGGGATTGCCCGGAGCAGCAGAGCGGGGACGGCCGGGATTTGGGATTGGGAGAGGCTGGGATGGGCTGGAAGGGCCTTCTATGGGTGACCAGTGTTCCCATGGGAT